CTCCTCTTGCCAGCACCACCATATTCTGCAATAGAGGAAGCACAGAGTGCAGACTCACACTCCATTTGCCAGCACTGCTGTCCCAGGGATGACGAAGGAAAGTCAGAGTGCGGACTTAAGGCTCCATGCACCAGACATTCTGAGGTATGGAGGATGAGCAGACCACAGACTCATCTTCTACTTGCTGGCACCACCTTTCCAGGCACAATGGAGGAAGGCTGGCATGCAGACTTACACTCCACAGGCAGGTGCCTCCTTCCCAAGGCCGTTATTACTGATTATACATAGACCATGTAGCCTTAATAACCTTCAAGTGAGTACTGATTTTAAGTCCCGTAATAATACCTAAGATTTGAGAACTGTTACACAATACACACTCATTTTTCCTTCTTTTACAATTGTGATAAGTGGAGTTCTGGATTTTTATTTTACTCCATCAACTAACAGTAACTAACCAATAAAAATGGAAAAAGAAAAAAAAAAAAGGAAGCCCTCCTGAGAAACTACATAGATGCTGGTGCCACCCTCAGGAATTGGGACTTCCCATCCTTAGGAACTGTGGGCAAAATAATCCTCTGATCTTTATAAATTACCCTATCGCAGGTATTTTGTTAGAGCAAAAGAAAATGGAATAAAATAGGACCTATGCTCCAAATGAACAAGACAAAAAAGACCGCTATAATTATATATGATGAATGTCCTTCAGTGAACACTGAGGAGCTAGTGCTGAGAGAGAGACACCACCTCAGCCTGGGAAGACAGGGATCTGGGGCATGGTGACTGAGCATCCTACTTTATGCTAGAGATCCTTCACAGGATACAGGAGTCACTTTCCACCCAGGCTGTCAGGAGACCCAGGGGCAGTCCTGGAGAGCAGGGGCTGTGCTTTCTTCTCAGCTGAAACCCAGAAATATGCACAAGCTGCAGAAACACACATCACTTTACTTTTAACTGCTCTTGGTATTTGTAGACACATTTATTCACCCATCAGAAACATTTGCTATGGATTTGGGTGGACAAGACAGCTGAGAGTCAGATATTCGCACATGCTGTTAATGGTCTCTCAGAACACAACCCCAGTGGAAGGCAGGATGATGGAATTACACCATACACTCCATTGATCCAGCAACCTGGTACACTTATACTGGTATATTTATTAAGTACACACATGTGAAATGAAATATTTGCAAGTTTACTTCTTGTAGCATGGTGTATCACAGCAAAATAAGGAAACAACCTAAATGTTCACCAACATGCTCCAGGCTAAATAAACTATGGTACAGCCACATAATGTAACACCATATTGTTGTAAAAACAAAGAAGAAAGTGTTCTGTATTTATGGGGAAATTTTTAAAAGATATGCTGCTAAATGGATTTTGCAAATTGGACTAAGAGAGAGGTGGGAAGTGAAGGTAAGGGGAAGTAAAAAGAATTAAGATATATCATGTATACATATCAGCTCCCCCATAATGAATGCAATCACTATGCATGGCAAACATATTCTGTACTAATAAAAAATTTTAATTTAAAAAACACAAGGTAAAATACTGCATTATTTTAAAATAAGTACCTATTTGGGCATATATACAAATACACATAACATCAACAACAATACCTCTGGTTGCCTCAGAGTGAGAGAACACTGTGCGGCTGAGGACAGGTGTCAAAGACAGACTTTACTCATATGTTTTTGGAGCTACTGGTTTATAAAGCATACAAAACACTTTTAATCTAGTGAGGTAAGAAAATAATCCTGCTCAGAACATCTGAGTTGGTATCCCACCCAGCAGCTGCTCCAGTGAAACAATTTTCAGTCTTCACAGTGGGGACACTGAGAACAAGCCTGCCCCAAGACACAGGCACAGGATGGTGCACACCCACCCCAGACTGCTATTTCTAAGCCTGAGCTACTGTAGCACCTGAAGCATCTGCTTAAATCCCAGCAACCAGACTTGCCCAAAGGCATACTCAGCCCTGCACTGTAAACATTTTCATTCCAAGGACTGCCAGCCACCCCTGACTACTCTGGCAGAGCAGCTGAGCATTTCACAGCTGAAAATGCCAGGAGCTAAGTGAGAAGGCCACATATGCACCTTGTCCTTCCTTCTGAGTTGGTCCAGACTAGCCTGGGTATCTTGCTCTCTACTGAAATGCAATTACTTTTAATTCCCAGGCCTCTAGACCCACGATATTACTTGTACACACCCACTTTGTTCTTAAGTGCTCACTACCTGAATGGGTGTTCATCATGCGGACAGCCTTGGCCTTAGCCAGCTCCAGGGCAGTGATCCACTGCTGCCGGTCCACCTCTGAGCTGCCCTTGAGGTGGTAGTTCCTTGCTCCACTGGTCAGCAAGATACCACAGGAGTCTTCTGTGCCGATGTGCACAGTGGCCAGGTTGATGGTTCCACGGCAGGTGTGGGCCATTTCACCCTGGTTTCTGTCAGATAAAAGAGAAAATATGACGGTAAGCTGTCAGATTCAATAGCTTCACACTAAAGAAATCCTCAGGGAAATTCTCAAAATCTCGGATCTAAGAGCTGAGAGAGGCTCTGAAGTCACAGCCAAGGAGATAATGCCTGTTGGGACCTTACCAGTCATGGGCTTGGTTTGGGACTCTGGGGCCATGTGTGCCTGTGATGGGGACAATGGTAGAAGGATAAAGATCTTTATTAGTGTCATGTACAGGGCATGCCTCTTTCAGTTTGACCCCTGAAAACACCATAAAATGAAGAAGAGTGACTTCCCAGGGTGCTAAAAGGGAGAGCAGGCCTCAGACTGCATGCCTGACTCCACTAAGTCTCAAAACCACAGAGTTAGAGGAGGGTGGGATCCTGCCACTAAAACTGAGACTGGAGGCCCAGAGCCCCAGAGGATAGACTTAGAGGCACTTCCTGCTTGAAGCAACCTGAGAACAGTATAGCCCCCGACACTGTCTTTCTGTTACATCATGAGATTCACAGAACAAAGATGTCACCATTCTCTGGCCCCATGACAGATAAGTAGAGAGCGCTGGCTGGGCTACCATAATGCTACCCTGCGACAAGGGACCAAAGCCTTTGCTAGTTATGGGATTCTGAAGCTAATGGTATTAAGGTAAGAGAAAGTGGAGGTGACTAAAGTGTATACCATTTTTTTGTTTTGTTTTGTTTTTTTCTGGTACTGGGAATCGAACTCACGACCTTGTGCTTGCCAGGCAGGTGCTGTGCTGCTGAGCTATATCCCCAGCCCAGTGTATGCCATTTACAACTGCAACTAATATCAAAAAACTGAGATCCAACTATCATGATTGGATCCACTTATTCCCTTAGACACTCAGAGGAAATTAAGACAGCCTCACTCCGATACCAACTTTCTTTCTACAGAGGATGCTGGGAAAAAAAGAGCAATGGAACAGAATCTAGTGCTGCCAGTGGCAGGAGCTCATTTGGCAATTTTCTGCTGCCCTTAAAAGCTTTGCTGATTTTCTCTGGCTGCTTACCATCTATCATTTTCTTGACTTTTCTACTACCTCTAAAGCCCAATGACTTGACACTCACTAAGACATTCCTCCTGTAGTTAAACAGTAGTTTCATTTTTGCTTCCTTCTGCCTTAGTAACATTCCTCAAGTAAAATAATGTATAGCTAACAAATACTCTGGCTCTTAGGTGTCATCATCTCTTAATGGAAAGAAACTGACTCCAGTTTACAAAATTGACCATGCTGGGCATGCCTGGTGGAAAACTGATGTTTTTGATTTAAGATGCTTTTAGGCTACACAATATACTGGTGTTGAACAGTGTAGTAACTAACCAAAGAGAACACTGGCTTAGCTCAAAAACAAGAGGCTCATGGACCATGTTCTAGGCAGGAAGACTTGCAGAGGCAAAGAACACAAAGCAAAGAGGAGTTTACAGCTCTTGAAGAACAGAGAAAGTTCTGTGGCTGGAGTACTAAGAACAAGGGAGGAGACAAGAGAAAAACAAAGCTAAGAATGAGGGACCAAATGCAGTATGTGATAGGATATATTAAAATTTTAGTCTCCTGTATTAAAACTACAACAGTGAGCCCCATGGGCCTAATATTATTTTCGTTTTGCTTTGTTTTTGAGATAGGGTCTCCTTGTGTAGTTCAGGTTGGACTTGAACTTACTGTGTTGCCCAGGCTGGCCTCGAACTTATGGCACTCCTCCTGCCTCAGCTTCCTGAGTGCTGAGATGATGAGAGTATGCCATCACACCCGGCTATGGGCCTAATATTAGAAAACCAGAGATGGTCAAGATTTCCAGACATTTCTGTGGCAACATAGGGAATAACAGTGCCTCGTGCTTGGTGGGAAACGGAAGCCAGTCACTGTGTGAAATCACGGATAGGCCAAAAGCTCTCCAGTGGACACAGTCTATCAGACTACAACTTATCAACTAGAAAAATAACCAGGAGTCCATGCTGATATAAGTAAACAACTGCAGGAATACATGGAGAAGGGACAGAGATTTCTTAACAATAGTAGGTAGAATTTTGGATACAGGAAATCACTAAACACAACATACAATGCAATGTAGACTACAAAATAGGGAAAAAAGATGAGAAAAACTAATAAAATTTGAATAAAGTCTGGAGTTTAGTTGGTAGTAGCATCACAATGTTAATTTCCTGGGTTTAATAGAATTGTTTTTATTTCGTTAGGACATGTTTGCACTTTGTGCAGTTTGCAGTCACCTTGGGGAGTGGTTACAGGTACATAGCGCAGCTTGTTCCTTTTTAATCCCTTTCCCTTCCCTCCTTCCCCTCCCTCCTCAAATTCCCCTATCCCACTTTCCATTCTCATCAATATTATTAATCTTAGCTCATGTTGTGGCATATAATGTTTACACTAATTGAGATTATTAGGTTCCTCTACGTGGCACATCTTTATTCTATGTATTTCCCCTTCCCTTCCTCCTCCCCTCTCATACCTTTTCCCTCGGACCACTTCCCTATAGTGAGAGATCCATTCCCATCCTCTTCTATCCATCCTTACTATTCTGTTTGTGCTTTGCCTCACTCAAATGAGAGATACCGTATGGTATTTAAGCTTGTGTGTCTGTTCTCTTTCACTCAACATTATATTTTCTAGGTGTATCCATTTTCCTACCAACGTCTCAAATCTGTCCTTCTTTACAGCAAAGCAGTATTCTATCATATATAGATACCACATTTTCTTTATCCAATCATCTGCTGATGGATATACAACCTATTTCCAGGATTTAGCTATTTGGAGTTGAGCTGCCATAAAGAGTGCTATGTATGTGTCACTGTAGTATGATGTCTTAAACTGTTTAGGGAAGAAGACACCTAGCAAGGGGATTGCCAGGTCATATGGAATTTCTAGTTTCAGTTCTTTGAGAAATCTCCATACTGATTCCATAATGGTTGTACTAGTTTACATTCCCACCAACCACGAAGAAAGGTTCCTTTTTCACCACAGCCTCACCAGCGTTTGGTTGGGGGGGGGGCTTGTTTTGTTATGTTTATTTTTTGAGACAGAGTCTTGCTATGTAGTTCAAGTTGTCCTGAAACTCACGTATGTAGCCCAGGTTAGCCTCAAACTCACAGGGAATCTCCTGCCTCAGCCTCCTGAATGCTGAAATTACAGGCATGTGCCACCATGCTCAGCAGCATCTGAATTTTTTTTTTATTTCTTAATGACTGCCATTCTTTCCAGAGAAAGATGGAGTTTTAGCACTGTTTTAATTCGTATCTCTCTGACGCCAAAGATGTTGAGCATTTTCTCACACATTTGTTGACTCTCTGTTTCTCTTCCTCTGTGAACTGTTTATTCTTTTCTCCTGTCATTTCTTGACTGGATCTTTAATTTTAGGTGGTTTAATTTTTTTAAGTTCTTTGTATATGCTAGGTATTAGTACTCTGAGGACTAATCATCCTCTGAGGACTAATCATGGGAAACATCTTTTTCCATTCTGTAGGTTGTCTCTTCACTCTACTGATTGTTTCTTTTGTTGTACAGAAGCTTTTCATTTTTTTATTTTTGGGGTTTTTGTTTGTTTTGAGACAGGGTCACCGACGTAGCTCAGGCTAGCCTTAAACTCACTGTGTAGCCCAGGCTAGCCTGAAACTCATGGTAATTCTCCTGCCTCAGCCTCCTGAACACTAGGGTTACAGGCATGTGCCACCACACCCAGCCATACAGAAGTTTTTTAGTGTGATATAATCCCATTTGTTGACTTCTCGTGCAACTGAAGTTCTGTTTAGAAAATCTTTTCCTACACCTATGTCTTCAAGTGATTTACCTATTTTACCTGCGCATAGGTTTAATATTTCTGTTTTAATGTTTACATCTTTGATCCATTTTGATTTTAATTTAGTACATGGTGACAGACAGGGTCCAGTTTCAATCTTCTGCACACAGATAACCAGTTTTCTCAGCACCACTTGTTGAATAGCTATCTTACCTTCAACATACACTGTTGGCCCCTATGTTGAAAATCAAATACCTGAATGTGTCTGAGGAAGTTTCTGTATTCTCAATTTTATCCCACTGATTCATGTATCTGTTTTTGTTCCAATAACATGCCATTTTTATCACTATTGCTTTGTGGTATAGCTTTAAGTCAGGTATTGCAATGCCTCTTGCTTTGCACTTGTCTAAAACTGCTTTTGTTATTCTGAGTCTCTTATGGTTCCACATGAATTTTAGGATTGTTTTTTCTAGATCTGTAAAGCATGCTGTTGGTATTTTGATTGAAGCAGCATTAAATCTGTGCAACAGTTTGGGAATACAGCCATTTAGACAACATTGATTTTTGCCTATCCAGGAGCAGGAGACATCTTTCCATTTTCTGGTGTCTTCTTCCATCTCCTTTTTCAGAATACTGTAGTTTTCTTTGTAGAGGTCTTTCACTTTCTTGGGTTAATTCCTAGGTATTTCTTTTTTTTATGCTACTGTGAATAGTATTATTTTCATAATTTCTTTCTCATACCACTCAATGTTGGTGTACACAAATGTTAATGATTCTTGTGTGTTGGTTTTTGTTTTTAGTTTTTTGAGACAGAGTCCCACTATGTAGATCAGGCTGGCCTTAACACACTAGGTAGCCCAGGCTGGCCTTGAACTCATGGCATCAGCCTCAGCCTCTCAAGTGCTAGGAGCCACCATGTTCAGCTTGTGTGTTGATCTTGTATCCTGCTACATTACTGAAGTTTGTTATTAATTCTAAGAGTTTTCTGATAAAGTTATCTGGGTCTTCTATAGAGCATCATGTCATCTGCAAGTAATGATAATTTGAGTCCTTCCTTTCCTGTACATATTCCTTTTATTTCTTTCTCTTGCCTAATTGCTCTGGCTAATGTTTCAAGTACTAATGTTGAACAGAAGCGGTAATAGGGAATAGCCTTGTCTTTTCCTGATTTTAAGAGGAATGCTTTTAGTTTTCCCCCATTTAGTATGATACTGGCTATTGG